ATAAATGTTGTATATTTACAAATGTTGTATATTTACAAATGTTCCTTCACAATTTAAACGGCACTTCGTTCAACTGGAATATACTAGAAATAATACTAATGACAGTATTTTATCTGCCTATTTGTAATTATGAGCTATGGCTATACTAAGACTTAGTAAATTAAAAAAATTTAATAATTAAGACATTTCTAATAAGATATTTTCGAAATGTAATAATTCAATTTTATTTTTTAACAAGATTTACTCTTTTACTTGCAAAAATTAGAAAAATTCATTGAATTTTGAAGTATATTTCATAACATTAAAAATATATTGTACAAATTAATCTTATTAATTAAAATATTTTGTTTTTAAAAATAATTAATAAGTAGGTACAGAAGTAATTATTATACTTAATATTTGCGCTGCAGTATATATAGCATTGTGCACAGTTAGCACAGTGTTGCTAACTATTTTATCACTACAAAAATACTTATCTAAATATTTTATCACTACTTAAAATTAATATAAATAAAAATAAATTAAATGTCTTGGAAAATTCTTTTGAACATTTCCTACTTACATCGCATTATCCCTATAAGTTCAAATGCAATCGTAGGTATTGTTTTAAATATAACCCTTTAAATTGTATTTACGCACATATTCCGTATATAATGACCGGATATATAAAAATGTTTTAATAGCAAATATAACTAGATTTTATAAATAACTTTTGTTTATTTTTACAGCTTTATAATAGTTATTTAAGTCTAAAGTTTTATTTCATTTGTTCAGCAGAACTGTGACGTTATACTTTCTTTGACATCAGCCCGCGGTCATTATACGAAAGCTAATTTTTCTCTCGACATATTACTATGTATATTAATACACGTCTTAGTTCATCCTTTGTCGCTGTAGCAATACGAAGATTTTATTACGCGTAAGTACATTTAGATGAACTTCGAATCGGGTTGCACAACAATATTATTTTGTCGCGGTTTTTTAAGTATGTCTCTTCCCACGCGGTTGTCCGCCCAATGGTAATTACGTCATCATCGTGCACGAGCGTGTCAGTTTTATTTTCGACCCATCGCCCTATCCGGAAGGGATCTGGAAACTGCGAACGGCCAATTTACGAGACCGAATCTGATCACCAAAACGTTAAATTACATTTTTATCAAATTACGAGTGTAAACTCTTTTGAATAACGTTAGGTGCATAAAATAGGTAAATCGTGCAAGCGCACAAAACGTTGAACATCATAAATGTATTACACGTACAGAAAAAGCTTTTTAATCTCCTGCTGTAGGCAAAAAATAGAACGTCTAATACATAATTATCGTGAGAGGCCATGATGAATGAGTTGGTGATGTTTGGCTTATTGGAATTGAATATAGCTATATGCTTAATCACAGTTTAAAAAATAATAATAATACATTTAATTTATGCAATTGTAAATGTAAGACAATAATTCCGATAGCAAATCGATAAAAAAAAAAAACTTTTATTATATTGGAGTAAATATTCTACATGAAAGTATAGGTACAAGCACAAATATACAATGTATATATATTTATACGTATTTATCGTACCCGTATATACGTCGGTGTCCATACGTTTAGTTATATACGTATAAGTACCGAAATCGTGATATACCTACTGCAGTATAGAAAATGGTTCATCGCATAGATTCAGAATGATAGTAGGTACATACCTAAATACATAATGTGGTTTCGTATTTCTCGCATGCTTTTTAAGATAATTGTGGGTATACTAAACAAATAGAAAAATAAATACTGAGAATATTTTTTTAGAGAAAAAGATAATAAGGCAGTTTGACCTATACGATACCATATAATTTATCATACATATGTGTTATTACTTATTATATTAAGTATAATATATATAGGTACGAGTCTGTTAACCATTCGAAATACGAACGGTATAACTAATTTAAAACAGGATGTAAGTTAAATGTTAGAGTAAAACACGTCATATTGGTCGAAAATTGAAGACAATAAGGTTTCTCTCTGCTAGATTAATAATAAATCAATAGGCGAGAACTGAAATTTAATATACATTATATATATGCGACACATTAAGGTTGAATTTTGTAACATTAGTAAGGAAGTGGGTTACACAGCGTCAATTTTCGACACGAATGAATTCAAATGAAAAGCGATATAAACAACGTCAAAAATGAACTGAAAAGTGCATTAAAATGACTGCTGTTGCTAGGGAACGCTAAAAACTGCACAACAAACCCATTTGAGCTCAAAGTAGTATTTTATCATAATTATTATTGTTGTGGTTAATTAGACTTGTGTTGTATGGGTAATTATTGCCAAAGAACAGCTGCATGGAGTATAATATGAACTTATTCGTGTCGTTAAAGGATTTACATTTAATTTAGTTTTATATGTGTTGTGATCACAAATTTTATATTATAGTTATTAGAACTAGGTTTTATAAAAATAAACTTATTGACTATTGTTGTATAAAAATACAAAATTAGGTACCTATTGTACGGAATTTAATTGCTATATTATTATATAAGTAAGCAAACACAATCTTAGAAATTTTTGTTTATTTTATTCGTACTGTTCGTCTATTTAAAGTAAAAATGTTAAGTAATTGGTTTGAAAAAAATGTTGATATCTAGCTATTCTATAAAATATAGTTGCTAGATGAAATGGTACCTACACGATATTGATATTAAAATTTTACTTATAGTAATATGTTATAGTAAATACAACTTAGTTATAAATTTATAAAATACCTACAACAGGTTTTAAACCCAATCAACGTAAATCATTAATGCTATAAACATTTCAAAATATGTAGGTGTTCGAGGAGAATATCATAAGTAAATAAATGATTTCATCAATTATTACTAAACCCACGTTATTCCATATACGACATTTTGGCGTTATTAAAAAGTTTACATACTCATTGCATACAATTTAATTTTACTACGATGAATAATTTTAGTTTTAAGAACTGCTGATAATTTCAACTTTCTAATATAAAGGTTTACATTTCATTACAATTGGTACATTTTTAAATCGAAATTTTATGAAAGTAGGTAATATATTATAAATTTCTTAAATTCTCTCTTCATTTTATTATAGTCGTTGATAAACAACTTAATATCAATAGTTAAAATATACATATATACATATTCTACACATTTTGTGTTTTTCATAATAGTATTATATGAATTAAGTTTTAAGTTTAAAATATAAAACAATTATTTTAAAATTTGATTTAAAATTTCTGATAGAAATTATTTTAAAATTAAATAAATATAAAGATGAAGAATGACTATCTAAAAAATGTTTAGTGAAGTAAGTAAAAACAAAAGTTGTAGTATTCACTTACAAAAACGATTTCAGAAAATGTCTACGCAACTGAAGCTCGTTGTTTATTTTGCTACTTAAGTTTTTAAACAAGGAAAAAATTAATATGCTTAACAATTACGCAAAACTTTCCTTGATAATTATTCACGAAATGTCAATCATACCAAACATAATGACAATATAATATATATTATAACTCTAATAACATTTCATGAAAACTTAAATGTTTTGTTTGATGATAAGATTTCAACGATTTCGATTATTCTGTGATTTATTTTTAAAAAAACGTGTTTAGTAATCGGAAAATCATCAATTAGCGTGAGACACCAATAAAGATTTTAAAATAAGCCTCCGAAGGTTGTGCATTGTGTTAAAGAAAATAACAGTGTAAGTAATTGATGTATTATTCTGCCCACGACTTAGCGCAATAACACTTATCATAGTGACAATAATAAATGTATGAATATTATTCAAAGAGTCGACTGTCGATCTTAATATAAATGAATATACTAGAAATGCATAGGTATACAAATAGTATTGGGTATAAGTTTATAGTTTATATATTTTATAGCATAAATTGTTTGCTTGACGCATCCAACTACTTATGGTAATGTTACTAATCTATTGGCGATTGGGCTACGGCCAACGTACCTATCCAAGGATAATATAATTTTTGACGTGTATTAAGAAAGTTGAAATTTAAGCTCCGATAGTATTACTATCACCTTGAATTCTTTGACCATCGGGAGCGGATACGGTACATATATTATATATTACACAGTATCGATTCCATTAATAATAATAATATAGGTATTGTATTATGGCCGTCTTGGATTTTATTTTTTCTACAATATTTGTATACTTGGGTACACACAATCCTCCACTAAGCCGATCAAAAAAAAAAAATTAAGAATATTATCCCGTCACGCTTGTATATATAGGTACACTGCGGAGTTCTACATGTCGTCGCAATGTTCCAATTGACAGTTTTTATTAAACTCGTAAGACACGATCGTGAGAATATATCATTAATTTATTTACGACTCGAGTTTAAAACACGCACGGAGTGAGACCATTCTCTTTCATTCGTGTGCATTGTATTATATATAGATACATTTTAATGTCGTTGACGCGTATTTATCGCACCGCGCCATATTATATAGTAGTGCAGATTGTATAATTTCTTTTGTTAGTAAATTTAAATGGAACGAGAAGAAAACGTAGAAAGACATACGGAAACCGTAACAGCTAGCTGACAACAGACAACACTATTTGTTTGGAAGACGAACTACTCGTGTGTCCCTCGTCGAGTACCTATACCATCCTTTTGCGTGTATATTATAATTATTATTACTATTGATCACGAAACGCCGTGACCCGGTCAGATAAGAAAATTCGGTCACAATAACCACGCCCGGGTACTCCGGTTAATGTTATTATTTTTTTTATTATTATTATTATTATTATTGTTGTTATTTATTCATATAAATATTCTTTCCACCAACGTCAGTTTACTTTAGAAAATATTATTATAGTTGTTTACGTAAAATTAATGACGTAAACAAAAACAGACGTGGCTATACAATCGGAGATGAATTATCTGTACCTATTGTTTTCATTAAACAGTTCAAACTATATTATATTATAATGTTTGGTTTTCAGAGTTTCGTTCGGCAGTTCAAAAGGATCTATGGTTGAAACATTGATATACGACAGCCCTCCTGTCCAAGAAGAGATATTGGATATAAGTGATATTGACGACTCTGACGGGTAAGTCAAATTTCGATTATTATTTAAAATCTGTTCTAATTAAATGTCATAAATAAGTATTACGAAATTATTTTATTATTCCGGAATCGTTAATCAATCATCATGTATCACGCAATCCGTGGTAATAACGACAGTTCAGTGTTCTACTGTATCGCAATTATTGTAATCAAATAAAAAGGCAATGGCTTTTGGAAAGGATCTAAGTATAAAGACATTTTGGTTTAAATCGTATAGACTAAAGTAAAAAATGTTTATGGAAACATTTTCCTCGTTCATGCGTGTAAAAACTGTAAAATTAGGGAAAATACTTAGAACATATTAAGCGTCTCCAAGGACATTTTAACAATAATCGCATTATTCCCCTCATGAAAGAATATTAATGTTCAAAATGTCTATAAAAAAAGCACTTATTCTCAGAAATATATCTGCGGTAGGAAACATTTTATTAATGACTTAATTTAATCGTAAAAGGGATTCAAAATATTTTGGCAACGGAAATCAGCGAAACAAATATTTATCGTTTATCGATATCATTCGTAAACAACGTATGAATATATATTTCAAACGTCATAGTAATTACTACGTTAAATACTTACGTACATTTACTTTACGCGAAATATTTACACGAAACCTAAACAAAACCACGAAATTTATTTTACTTAAAATTGCTTAGGTGTTTCTTTTTGACTTACCTATTGTTTGACAATTTGTATTTTTTGATGCATTCGTTTAGTGTTTTTTTTTTTAAAATAATTAATAATTTAACAAGTTGTGTTTTAACGTCTAGTAAAAGAGTAAAATAAATAGATATTTTATTATTTTAGTATGTATAATATGTACTAAACATTTAAACTCTCCTTCATTAGTTAACCTTCATTAGTTAATACAGTTTCAATTATTTAATGGTATTCAATTTATTTTAATTATTTTTGTCGTGCTTTTCATTCAATTACACTTAACACGCGAACAATTAGACTTAATAGCATTCTACTAATATGATAAATACAGCAATTAATGCAATACTTATTCACATTTAAATTAATGTCGTTAAGATTATAATATTATCAAAAGACGAAAATTCTTTTATAGATATATAGCTAACACAATTTAACACAGATAATAAGTTTGAATTTATAACATTTCGTATAACACAAACTTTAATCAATTAAATACGTAATATATATTAATAAGATAAACTGAGAGTGTCTAATCATCTCTTGAATAAATGTATTCATAGATTACAAATGATTATCTGTTCAAATACATAGCCGCAATGCTCATTAAAATATATACTATATCAAAATTATGTTTTCATTTTTTATTCATTTGGTGAGGAATCATGTACGGAATTTATGTTTTGAAATGAACTGCAAAACCAATCATGTTGGTATAAATTGATAAATAATGTAATCTTTATCTTTATAATATTCAAAGTTATTTTATCAATGGCGCAATATAATGATGTGAATAAAAATAAATTGTTTAGTAAGCTGGTTTTGTGCATGCTTTCTGTGTAGACATAAATATAACATGCAACTGACCACTTACTAAAAATTATAAATCTTATTACCATCTTTTCTACGTGTAATATGTTATTATAATGTTTGAGTACAATTTATTTTACACATAATGACCCAAATAATTACCTTTTTTTATAACTGAAGTTAATATAATTTTTTTTTATGATTATTATTATTTTATAAGGCCGCTAAGAACATCTTGCCATACAAATGTACAACATAATATCCTCTTCCACTATTCTCTTGTTAATATGATAAATTAGTCAATAGTACATTTTTAAGTTTTTAAGTTTAGATAATTGACCAGTTTTCAAACATCTTGAAAACTAGTAAATGTATATGCTATACTAGAAATATAACCAATATAAGTAATAATATGTGTGTATACTTCAGAAAAAAAATATTTCTAAAACTTGAATATTTTGATAAATGTTCGCTTTATAATTAGGTAAAATATTAAACATAACATTTTTAAATCTTTATTATTTTTTTCCTTTTTATTTTATACCTACTATAGTCATAAATGTGCCTACCTATGTTTACATTATGCTTTAATTTGATCCAATACAGTTATGAAATCTATTTATATTTCATAAAAAACGTCGTGCTCTGCCCTATTATATTTAGTTCCGTTGAGGAGGACCACACACTTAGTGAGCGGATATGTGTTTTAGTTTGTACCAAGTAAAAAAAGCAATGGTGTACATTTATAATAAGTACTAGAAATGTCCTTTTATGTTATTAATAAAAGAAAAACTTGAAGGGATGTTCAATCTAAAAGTGTAAACTTTAAGGCCGTATGTGTATGTAAGAACGATTTACAGTGTTAGAGAGAAACAATAACAACAAGAACAACAATAAGTTCGTTGCGTTTCGGTCGAAGTCGTCCGTTGCACATCAGTAGGTACATCAGTCTAGGAAAAGTGCAACAGGGCATTAGTGCGAAACACTGGGTGTGACTGTATGGGTGATTTGATGCACTTTTTGAAGATTAAACGACTGATGACGGTTTTCGCGCGTGTGAGATTTTAATATTATTATAAACAATAATAATAATGTACACAAGGAAAGTGAAATATTGGCCGACGACGTCGAATAGTGCGGCGCCCGCCGGAGTGGCAACACTGCGCGCCGGTGGCTGCCGCCGAATCCTCTGGTTCTCTCCCCGGTCCTGTCCCTCACGACACTCGCTCCAGTGACGCCGATCCGTTATTCGTGGTGCGCGCACGCCATTCATAACCGACTCCCGTGCAGCATTCGTGCCGACAGACGACGGCGACGACGACTACAACAATAGTACGTCAGATGCACTCGGCTATTGTCGTCGTCTCCTCCGGATAATCGCCGTTCCGCGATCGTTTTTTTTTTTTTTTTGAAAAATCGTATTTCATTTTCCGTTTTTCATCATTATCGTTATTGAGTTTCTTTACTTATTTGATTGTTATTAAAAATAATTTGACATCGCGCGCGTCTTTTGTGTGCTCTTTCCAACGGTCACGCCCACGATCCGCGTGAATCAATACGACGACCGCGGGATAGCGCCACCGAGAAATCCCGCGACCACCATATAGGTGAGTTGTGTTATTGTTTGTGTTTTGAGTCGGTTTGTTTACGTTTCGGCCGCGCGAGGAAGATCCCTTTGAGCAGCCGCCGCCGAACTCCCGTGACGCGCAACCGTTACACAACGGCGTGCACAAAAATGGAGGGGGGTTGTATGGAAAAAAAAAAACTATATCGCATTAATATTATGATGTTTGATTAATTCGTTCGTACGTTTTTATGTAGTGAACGAATAAGTCTTGGGAGGGTTTTCAACACCCCTCCCCCATGGTGTATATACGCGATTTTGGTGTTGGAGTTACGAAAGTGTCGATGACGACAGTGACGATGATGATGTCATTAGGAAGCCGGTCCAACCGGTTTGTGCGCAAGCTTTAATAATATAGTGACCGTTATTTAACAGCCTTCCGAGCGAAACACATACCTACCCACATGTTCTTATTATCAGCGGCATTATGCGAAAAGCAAAAGTCCCGTAAATGGAAACATACTTTCACCTCGTACCCTACCTGCTTACGTATCTATACCGACGATAAATCGAAAAAAAGGTCCGACGCGATAACTCGCCAAACGGGAATTATTTTTTAATTAGGTCGAGTTTTGGCGCGCAAACAGCACGGCTGCATACACGGCCGCCGTGTTTTCGTATGGATATAGTTATATATATATATAGATATTATATTCGTATAGATGATCAAATCGTTTTTACAACTTTTCACGTTGTGTGTGCGCGCCGCCGTGAGGCACGTACCGCGTAACAGTCGACAAGGTCAAATTCCTAGTGCTCTACAGCCAGCCTCGTGTTTATTATTACCGTATAATATTTATATGACCCGTGTTGTTCTATTCTGTCTGTATGTTAATTAACCTCTACCAGCGGGCCCCGACGATTACACCGCCTAAACCTTCCGCCCGACACAAATACGCAATTAATAGTTATGATGATCAGCCTACGCCGCCGCCGCCGCCGCCGCCTTGTGGCTTAACAACTAGGTGTACTATGCATTGAGCTCTTCACTAGTTAAACAAAAATTATTCATAAAATTATGCTGACAATCGCATTGTCCGTTACAGGTTTAGGATCACATTTTTCGTGTGAATATCGTTCAGCAATAACGGTATAGGGACGTGGTTTGTAGTTAAGTCTTACTCCGATAAAATGTGATGCGATCGCCACTGCCGAGGGCCATGTGGTAGCGATTCACCGCTCCGTTATGCTCTGGAGACCTTGGAGGCACATTCGTGTGGTTTTGGACGAGGTCCAATTTGGAAACGGTCCATTTGAATTTTTTTTAAATCGTGTTTATTTTCGCATTTCCTCCGGACGTCATCTGGAGAGAAGCGCGCACGCCTGGAGTTATAATTAGAGACGCAAATAGGTCAAACATCATAATATAATATTCAACTCGAAAACCTTCGAACCACGAGTACAATTGTTTTTCTGTATGTTTTCAGTACTGTTGCGTCCACTAAGGTCCGGGTGAGCTTTTTCGAATCCGAGAAACCGTGTGTGCTACCTTCACCGCCCAAATCGTTGGAAATATTTGGCGACAGCACGATGACCACTTCAAGTCCTATACTTCAAAGGTCAAATGGCCACGTCCAAACGCAGATTAGGTAAGTGATGTTAGATGTTTTATTAATGTTAAGCGAACGCATTAGAGCCCGGTCCAGAATGAGCGTTTCGAACGTTCTAAGCACGTTACATTATCATTGTGTGTCTGCCATTATTTCGGCACAAGACAATACGTCGTGAAGTCCTGTGCAAATCCCATAATCTATTATTATAACGATTACTATTTTTATATAAGTGAATTCGTGGCCAATTTAAAATAGCTACCATTGTCCAGACGGTTGAACGACCCTCCCAGGGGCCTCCAATACTATACCTTTAACATACGTGAGAAGTGTTCGCCAAACCATTTTTAAACTCGATGCTTGATATTATACTCTAAAGTAATGACACACGACGCCCTAGACGCGGCAAAGACACGCTTTAATACGTTTTTAGTGTCTGCCGTCGAGGACATTTCGTTACGACCTCAAACAACGATTCGTTTTGCCAGATGAAGTCTAGTGTAGTATAATATGTTCAGCTAATCATAATTTAGAGTGAAAAAACAAAATATTATGACTGCAAAAATTATTCAAACGACGACAGCAGCGTTGATGCTTTATTTTTAGGAGACAAAGAATTAATTTTAGTATTGATAATATCTTTGTGTATTTTTTAAAAAGATATTTTTTCCTAATTTTTCAAATTACCTATGCACAAGGAAAACTGGTAAAAAATCGAATTTTATGCCGTATCATACCTTTAATGAAATCAAACTTTTCAAGTATTCTACAATTTTGTATTTAAATTATTTTTTGACTTAAAAGCTCTCTTTCAAAGTTGTTTTCAAATGATATTGAATGTTTAAAAATATTTATATATATATATATTATATATATCACATTGCCTGCACCATTTCGGAAAAACGAATAAAGTGTCAAAACTCCCCTAAAAAATGTAGAGTTCTAAATTTATGTGCAAATATATTTTATAGGTAAGTACAAAAAAATTAATCAATTTAAAATTGACTTCGTTATTTTATTTGGTGTAACACCTCAACGTTAGAACTTTGGTGTGCACTATCTGCATACATATAATATATATATATATATATATATTGACAAAGAAGCAAAAAAAAGAGTTATTGATGATGACTGGTATGAAAATGGTCGTGTTATTAATATGAATTGAATTCGAAGATGAATGAAAGAGTATTATATTTGAATGATACTACAGTCTCATACACTGCCGTAGTAAAAACTGCGATACAACTAGTTTGGTTAATTAACAATTATAGTAATTTGTCTAATGGACGATGTACATAATATACCACCCGTGGTTAAAGTGAGACTTCATTAATGTACCCGTATAGGTCAGTGGGACATGTGTAGTTTTAAAATATACCAACGCTGTGCAGAAAAGTATTGGTATTGTAATAATTTTGGACACCGGATTGGCCTGGATATCGATAAGGTATTAAACGGCTGTTCGTTGTTCCGTCCTCGCGCCAACTTCCAATCACGTAGTAGCTACACCTACAACTCGTATATTGTTGTTATTCATACAACGTCCCAATGACGATCTGTCAGGAATGTATTGTTTATCGATAACTTTTCTAGTGACCGACTTCATATTATTAATATTCGTCTACAAAACCATGTCCGAAAACGTTCACAACCCTCTGGGCCTACCCACCTTGCCATATTATAAGCGTCGTAAAATCTGGAAACTACATATAACACTTCCCACCTGTAATAATATATTTACTACCCAGCACTATAAAAACGTGCTGTCCTCTCCCCTAGCCAGTTGTGTCTCTCTCCTCGGCGCACAACACTCCACTAGGTACTATACATTATGTGATACCGACACCGAGACGCCATCATAGCACAACGCTTACGTCACCTGCTCGTTTATTGTGTACACACACACACACGCACACACACACGCCGCACAAGCACGCCACAACAATCGATATCCGTTGCAGCGGTGGTCGCGGGGGCGGAAAGAAGGGGAAGAGCGGCGACAAACGGCAATAGCAGCAGCCGCCGAATGTGCAATCATGCGCACATCGCGCTCGCGTTCGTTCGGCGTAAAAAAAAAAGCCACCGTCGTCGGCGAACGTTCGTTATCGATGTTGTGAGAGAGCCGGTGCAACGACGATACTATCGATTGTGAGCCGCCTCCGCTCGGTATCCTAACAACGACGATTGTGAGAAGGGGACCACCGCTAGCGCCCGCGCGCGCGCCGACCGAGGCTCTCTTCAGTCCTCGTCAGTCCGTGTCTCCAACCGTGTCCACGACGCACGCCGGTTTGTCGTTTTTCGCGCCACCGTTCCCTCCTCGCCGAATAACAACAGATAATAGCGACAAACTTCTTCACCCACGGCATGCCAACAAGTATGACCGCTTCGCATGGCGGCGTGCTGTACTACGTGGTCAAGGTGCCCAAGGACGACCCGACGTTGGACTACGTGTCGGCCACCGCTTCGCACAAGTACCTGGAGGAAAAGCGCACGCTGTCGCCGTTGAACTTGGAGTGAGATTTCGTCTTAAATAATTCACGATTTCGGCAACGAAACGGCGGTGTTGATCCATGGGGTAAATTCGTTTTGCGATATGTACAAAGATTCGGAGAACGCCGCGAGGTTTAAATGATCCAGAACTTTAACACTCTGCAAAGTCACAACAATTAATGTTGTTGTATACAGTTCCACGATCTTTAACACTCGAAATGCTGTCGATAAATAAATACAAAGTATAAATAATTTGAATAGGTAGTTACAGTATTTTACACTTACACCTACCGGCGTTTCACTCGGTACGAGCTCTGATTTCGTGTACTCCTCCCTCTCACCCCTTCCACCCCAAAAGTCACGTTAAATTAAACCGCCTAACCACTGTATCGCGGTATACAGAGTGTAACCGACAATGACTGTCAAAACGTTCAACAGAGACAACTGCAATTACTTCTTTTCGTGTTTTCTCACAAACTCTAATGCCTCAGGTATTATTGTTATTATTGCTACCAACCTGTCGCAGGTATATAATATTATTATGATGTGTTATTGTTTACGAATGTGATATTGGTCTGTGTGTGTGACTGTAGTTGCTATACTATAATGTGCTGCTACTCTGGTGTTATCGTGCTCTAAACATGGGGTGTCTAGGTGAATTAAATATAGATTCAGGATTATACAAAATAAAACCAACATTTGATGACCATACGCGCGAGTAAAACTAATATGGGTAACAAATCAGTCTTTAAATTCTTCATGAATTCTTTTGTAAATCGATTTATTTGATGTTTTGGAAAACGTCCAATCTTTTGTGTTCGTTTGAGCTTATATTTTGAAAACCTCTTAGCCTGTGGCTTTATAACCGTTGTTTTCATATGGCTGATTTTTGAAATCAATATTTTGTTGTTCGCTTATACAATATAACTATGTGGTATCATTCCATGCATCCATTATATCTTCTCCGTGTCAATTTAAGAGTGACAGATTTATTTTTTCTTATTTTGAGTGTTTTACATGATTGATGACAATTAGACGTGGGCGAGACCTTTTGCTGTCCGAAATCGCTGTACATTATTTTGAATGCCAAACGACGACCACACCTTTTTAAAGGTCAGCCTTCAAGCCGACGAAATTATCCCAAAGTTTTACGAGTTTATAGGCTGATGGATAAATTACGGCTGGCAGACTTCGGTTGTACTAATATTTTGTGACTTAACAATAGCATGACATTTCGCTGCGTTCCAAATCACTGAGAAAATTTCATAACAGCTAATTTAGTTTATGTAAAATTCTGTTTCATGATAAAATTATACTGTTTTATTTCCATCCTTTTCATTAGTTTTATTTTTAATTTCAAGTATAAATTTGATATCTATATTATTATTATTAATGAAACTCAAATGCCACAAATTCTTAAATATTTTAAACCTTGTTGACTCTTATTGATTCTTAAAAAAGTACGTCATCCAAATAGTTATATGATAGATTAAATTAAAAGGCTATATAACAAATAACAATATCATATGCTTACGTTTATTTTGTAATAGTAAAATATTTTTATGTGAATACATGTGTCTAAAACACTAAGTGTTCTTGTTGAAATTATGCATACCAGAAGTACATAAAGTACTAACAAATAGAGTAAATTAAGATAAGATAATAATTTAATAATTTTGATTCTGTGAAACAATTAAGTATTTTATGTTTCTGTCTTGTTGTTTTCGCGTTCTTTCGTGTGGAAATATTATTTTACTTTCAAAAATACCATCTAGCAGCTGTATGTTCTTATGGTTGAGATAGCGATGATATTGCATTACAATATCTGCAGCTTAACGTCCTCTCATACACCTATAATAATGCATTAATGCATATTGCATATTACGCCACGAATCGTGTTATTTGTCCAACAACAATAACCAATTGCCCGTCGCTTGTAATGGTAAATTGCATTTTCGAAACGAATGTTTTGATAGTAATTATACTAAACCGGCCGTACTATCCGTGCATTATATTATTATAGTGTCGATGATCATCATTGTTAGCCATCGTATATGAGATTTTTCATGGACAGCCATCATCATCACGGTTCGGTGAGCCGGCAATGGTCCGTGAACCTGATGCAGGTTCCCTCTGCTTCCTGTCGTGCACCTTTTTATAATGCACCGGCTAGCGAGTGTCGCTGATGGAATTCCTGCAGCCTGCGATCGACTCGACGCGTTCTCTCTCGTAATATTATATTTGTCTCGCGCGACCAACGTAATAGTACAATAATAGTATTATCCAAAAACATTCTCACAGTTTCCATATAATATTCTTACCTCGACGCGCGTATATTTGAATTGTTTTTTTATTCGTGTTTCAGTTCGGACGGTTGGGATAATCCTTTCAGACCCGACGGCGACTTGTCCAAAGAAGCTGACCAGATAGTCGAACTGATTAAAGAAGGCAAACCGATCACGCCGACGCCCACGAGTGCTACGTCGCCGCTGTTGCCCGACCACAGCACGGACGTCAAACACGACCAACAACCGGTGACGTCCACGCCAACAAAGGCGAACGGAACGTGCAACGAGAAGAACGCTGTACCGCCCAACGTGGAAGTCCAAAGAGGTAATTACGCCCGACATGCGACGACCTTTTTTTAGATTGACGGTTCTGGAACGACGGCGATCCGGTTATAGACTAATAATAGATTTATTCATTTTAAAATCTGACAATACGAAACGCACATAGACAGGTATAATGATACCTACGTCCTCTACGTGTAAAATATTCATATAGATGTTCCCTCTGTACAATTGCAATCGATGTAATAATTGCATACTGTTCTTAAACTTAATCACCGTTTTTGAATTATCTGCAGACGACTCGTATATACTATTCTTTGTTTGGTAATTTATCGACTCGAGAGGAATATTATACGATTATGCAATAATAAGGAATGTAATATACAATGAAAGATAAACTTGTGAATGAAAATCTAATGATTGTTATTAGTAGGTATTAATGAGTTTATACTTGCATTGATTGTTTAAATATTCTAAACCATCATATAGTATGTTGTTTTATCAATGACATCGGTGCCTATATAAATTATAGCATATTATAAGGACCTTACACAACTACGATTGTTTGACAATACGCAAATGTATAAACGAGTTGTACTTACCACTTGTATTGGTTACCCACCACTTACGAAACGTTGATGCCTATATCTACTATACTTGAGATTACGATAAAAAAAATTTACTTATTACTATTACGGTAAATAACCTTAGTTTAAGTGAACATATAGAAACAAGTGGTATAAATATTTTCTGATGATTTTGATCTAATTAATAAAATAATTATTTTTTTTTGTTTCCTACTTAGGAACTGTGATAAATGGAAACGAGCCTTCCCAAGTGGAACACGTAGTATTGAAGAAAAAACCAAAATGCAGGTGTTGTGTGATACAATAACACGCGACCGGATATACACTCGTTTTTATTTCTATGTAAAACATAATAATCCAAAAATGCATAAACCAAAAAACAAGAACACGCTGTACCTTCAGCTATGTTGTTCGTGAGATGATCACGTCCTCGCGATTCAAAATTATTTTTCAGAGCTATATTATTATTATATATATATATGTTTGTACCTATGTTTGTATTTATAAGTATATATAAAACTTTACAATTTGTATTATAAAAATAATGACTTTTCTATATAAATACCTGGTATTATACGGTATAAATAAATGTCACATAGTTCCTTTTTATATATATATTATGATATTTATTGATTAAAAAAAAATATGTAATAGTATAGCAATATTGCTTGTGACATATTATATTATACTCGTGCATGTTATTTGGACAACTGTGGTTCGTAATGAAGACGGGGGAAAGCGAAAAAAATGTAAATTTTCACGCAGTCATACAATATAGGCGCAAACGCACGCTCAAAAATTTCATTTTACGAATTCACAATAGGCAAATATATTTTTTCAGTAGCTAAACCCCTACTCTTTCTGTGATTATATATATTTTTTTTTTTTTTGTTTTGTTATTTATTTTTTATTTATTACTTGGCAGATATTGTTCTAGGGATTCAGCGAATTATAACATTTATTGTATACCATATAAATATATTTTGTAATTTTCATTTTGATTTATTGGGTAAAGGAAGAACGTTATGATGTGGGAGTGTTCACTTAAATATTTTTCATGAAGTATGGAAATGTTGGAAACTTAACGAAATTTTGACCTTTGAAGTGTTGACATTCATTTAAATCGCTTTCACTATGACATCTTTTCTAATTGTACATTTATCCTAAAAAATATATATATTTAAATTGTTAAAAATTCTTTGTAACTTTAAAATATTCGTTGCAACAGATATCATTTTTACAATAAACTTCATACTATTTTGTAATATACTATAATTCCAACATTTCCAGTGTATAATTCTTAACAACTATGTATCGTTTCTGAACAATGTCATAATAATAAATATATTTGTACTTGAGTACCTATTGTATTGTATATCATGTTATTTGTTATTTTTCGAGAACCAATTTTCCTATTTGTACTTGAATTTATGTGTAAAAAATCCGAAATCTATGTTTGTATCTCAATATAATATTATAGGCAACAGAAAAATATGTAATTACCTGTATAACTGTGTCTACTCTAAAATAACATTTACTTAATTTATAAATTACGTCTTATATGAACTAACGAAAATCCCAAGAGTGTAATATACAAAATTTATTTGTTCGAGAATCTCCAATTAAACATATACTTTTATAAATATTTGATGTTTATCTAACGTAATTCCATTAAACTGATTTCGCCAAAAAAATATCACCCAACAGTTGACAAATAATAATGATCAATATTTGTAAATACCAAAGTTTATTTTATCACTGTAAAAATCGATTCAAAACGAGCCCCGGTGCACTGCAATATTGTAATTAATATTATTTCCCGACAGCTGACTAGTTGGAGTAGTAGGTTAAATGGGGTATTCAGGTGAAACGCATTAGTCATTTCCTATAGTTGGAATGGTCGTAATGTTTATTTTGGGATATGAATTTTTGGCCGGAAAAAATAAAAAATTGACCCAGTGCGCCTCTTGACACGTGTCAAAACAATATTTCCCATCTACTCGGCCAAGTATGTTATTTCTGCATCGTCCGACGAGCGTTGTAGGTAATACTTTTCAACGACTTAATAAAGTGGCTTTTGGACGAAAATAATAAACTATTTTTACCACTCTGTTGTGTGTGTTGCGAGGAAAATAAAATATCTAATACCAATGAAATATTATGAAAATATCTTTATAATAATTCATTGGTGGTTACTGAATGGTGATTAAATTGCAACTGCAGCAGAAGACACCTTAGGCCAAACAACCAATTTTTTTTCTGAAATTCTACAAAAATAATGCGTGACGGGTTAGAAGCTTAGAACGTGTCGAGCGTGATACACGTCTACCAGACTTGTATTTATGTATACGCCAAAACAAAAATCGTGTATCGTCGATGTAAATGCGTGACTTGATTTCGAATTTCGATACGTTGGCTTATTTCATTTAAATTGCGAATATTCCGGGTCTAACTTGGAAATGTGAATTAATAGCGATAAATTGTTATGATAAGTACCCAAGTGAAAATACTATTCTGCTTTTCAATGACAAAGATAATAGTGAAACATATAATGTCGAACATGTTATAGTAATATACTATTAGTAAAAGTATGCAGAAATTGAAGCGTTAAATTATTGTTATCAAATTATCTATAGGCACCTAACATAATGTAAAGAAAAGTAAATTTGATACTGTCTATAACTCTATAACTTAAATAATTCTATAATGTGACATCGTTTAAATCATATTATGGTAAACAATTACCCATACCAGTCACCAATACAATAATAATAGTAATAATAATAATAATAATATATATTGACATTACAGTAGTTTGATTTAATTTTTTCCAGAAACATTATTGTATTTATTATACTATTAATTTTTAAATATTATAATAGTACCTGCCTATATTATATTTATAATACACCTACTAAACTTTAAGTTTTTGTCTTAGAAGAGCCATATTTAAATGAAACAAACCAGCGGAGAGCTCAGCCCCCCCCCACACACCACCTGTTAAAATAACTCAAAAATACATTACTTTATGTAAATTGTAAAATAATAATATAACATAATATATTTTTTTCCTCGCCCACTTTCCTAAATTTAATATATTATAATACATGTTCTTTTATTTATATATAAAGATTTACCTTTTACTAAAACGAAAAATATTTTTATTCAAAATAATATCAACATTTAGGTACTTGTAAATACCATATATACTTGTACTACACATTATAATTATTGTAACCATAAATTCAAAATTGCAATTTTATAAAAAACATTAGTATTTAATATCGACTTATTTGACTATATTCTAAAAAAATTGAAATGTTATCAGTAATGTATTGCACGTTTTTAAAACTTTTATTACAAACCATTACTTGTTATGTTCTATTGGTGCCTGAGGATCCAATATCCACTATAGAAATCACACGAATATTGAATTGTTTTTAAACTTATGAAAATAATTTTTTCAAACAACGTTAACTGGATTCTGTAGACTTGGTAACTAGTTAAGAATTAAATACATCAATTAAAATATACATTTTGGAAGAAACAAAGACCCTCAAAGCCCCCCCTCAAATTGCTATTATGGGTGAAGCTCAAAAACGAACAACCTAATATACTTGTAATTTTCACCAAGTGTTTATTAGTATTTTCTGTACAAGATGAAAATTTTCAAAATATTTTTAAAATAATTCAAGTTATTAAAACAATCGACTTTCTTGAATTTTTAATTTTTTTTTTCGTGCCTAAATGTTTATTTGTGTAAATCATAATAGGATTTGCAGTACAAAAATTAACTATCTCATAAGTAATCCTAAGTATAATATAACATATTATAATATAATACCCACATCAAGGTCAAACTGTTTTGAGATGCGAAAATTAAAAATTGAAAACACTTCACTCTCAAAATCTAAAACAAAATAAAACATTGGTAAATATAGTATCAACTTAATATTTTCTAAATGTGAATGATCCTCACATTTATGGAACAGAATTACAGAACTGCATAAGTATTAGTATCAGGCACTAGAAATATTATGGTTAAGTTAAGCAGTTGAAGTATATCACATACGCCCTTATAATTATAGTAAGTGCACTGTAAAAGCACCCACTAATTCAATAAAAAATGAAAATAACAAACCCTTGGATTTTATCTTCTGTCTAGTAGTTTTACTAGAGTTCTAGTGTTCAAACACTTACTAGTGTTCCTCTTCGTTGAAAAGGTCACCGTATGTGTAAAATGTTACAAATTCAATGTAAATAATTATTGCATTATATACTAAAAATGATTCTGAACGTTGACCAGTTGAAGTATGGGGGAGGAATCCATCAATAAATATCCCTAATAACTTTCATTTTTCACCCTACTTATTTTGAGTGACCACTGATAAGTGTGTCAGCCTATATTTCTAAGACTGTTTTATAATTTATTTATTCAACTAAATTATACCTTTAAGTAATTAATTTTTCTATAAATGTACGTTACTAAATTTTACCAAAAACAAATCACATACCATATTATTATTATTATTATTAAGCACTGTTATTACCTAACTTATAAATCAATACCAAAGAATCGTAGAAACTATAAAGGTGTGAATAGTTTTGTGGTATAAATAGAGAAAACTGAATATAAATATTTTTTAAATGCCATATCGTATAGAATGCCAACAATTCTTCCTTTTTAAAATTAAAACAAAATGACAAAAATCGTTATTTATCTTTAAAATATCGAATTTTTCCAACATTTAAATTTCGATATTTTTTAATTAAGAATAGCTTGTAATGAACATTGTATTACATTTCCAAACTGTTTGATATGAAAAAAAATATAAGCAATAAGAATCTAAAAAAATACTGAAAATTCAAATGTGAAAAATAGCTCAAAAATTACTAAAATACCTATTTTGAATATTGTATCATGAAAGCAATTGACTTTTTCAAAAGTTGTTATCTATTGGGAAAATATTTTCATTTTCTAGTGCTTTTTATCAATTATTCCCGAAAATTGTAAAAAGCATTCAGAATTACTTCCCTTCCTCTCCCCACCTACTAAGTACTAACTTGATGAAATTTGTTACCAGAAGCCACCCTCAAAACTGAAAATGTAATTGTATTTTTACTGCTTCAAAATAATATGATGACAAAGAACACTATTTTTCAAAAGACAATATTATTATATCATAGTAAAACTAATACGTTCTTCGATTTGTCCCGAATCTAAAATATTTATAATTTAAAAAATTAAAACATATTTGTACCCAACGTTTGTGTATTTTTATACAAGGGTAACCTTCGGAGACACTAAAACATTATAATATTTTATTATGATAAAATGTAAATATTTTTTTCTTATAATACGAATAACAAAGCTGAGACGTATAATGGGTTATTGCTTACTTTTGTCATGTACATGACGTCAACAATCATTCCGCGGATTCCGCTGCAAGTGCTCTATTAATATAATCTAGACTACGACGCGACCAAATAATATAATATATACACACCGTCACACTTTAATGCACTTTAATACACTTAAAGCTTTACCTACTCCGGAACAATATCTTAACCGACATAATGCACGTTGGGCTTCCGGTGTGTAATACTTATGATTGACTTTTCGTTTTGAAGACGAATAGACGACATTTTATATTGGTATTTGATATTTGTTAAGATACTCGATGATACAATATTATAATAAACCCATTCCTTAATGTTATGAAAAATCATGATTATTACCACAGCCGACCACGAACAAATACAAACCCGAAATGTGGGTAGACATTTAAATGGGATGGAAGGGTCCAGGGGGTCAATCACACCAGGTGGAACTTTTTTGTAATTCACAATTTTAGTGTATCTAATCGAAACTTATTTCTTAGTTATTAAAACTCGACATTTATTACATATTTTCTATAATAAATCGGACGTTACATTTATGTGTATATAATTTGTTCTATTATTCTCAAGCGATTTCTATTAGGAATCAATGATACCTACAGATAATAAAAGATCACAGAAATCAATATAAGATATAACCCGTACGGACACCGGCTGGCGGTCAGTACAGTCCAAGTATTAGTTTATTGGCTAATCTATATTATATTATTATTTATAACTACTATATAATACATTGTTATACATAATAATAATTAGTAATTAATAGGATATTTTATTTACGAAATGTTTAAGAGACACAGTATATAGTGGCGAACAATATTTTACACATTTCAAATTATAACAATTACTAAAAAGAACACTTTTTAGAAAACGGAGTTAAATTTTTGAAAATTATAGAGAAAAGAAAAATAATACATATTATGTACAGACTTGCGAGAAAAACTAACTTTTTTTCAAATTCAAATAACTAGATAATTAAATATTCACCAACTATTGTCTAGTACTAGCTGATTGCATGCATATAGTCTATATATGATATAAATATCCTGCCAAATAAAAATCATCTCTTTGGTGAGTGTTTAATACCGATTTAAAAATAAAATTGTATCCTCGACGGGAGATAAAGAAATTCATAGATTTTCCTTGTGTGATTGGCAACTTAAATCAGTGACACGGACTAAAATCAAATCTTTACCTAATCGTATTTCCTATTGAATGCACACATAGCTTAAGTTTTTGAGTGACTGACAAAAATAGTTTTATCTTAATGCAGACTTTATTTTTTATTCCTTCAGTTTATACAAAAATTAATGTTGTGTGTTTACAGTACCTACTTATAATAGGAATTCGTAAAATGCAAATAAAACCTTTATACCACAATGAATACTTCCCTGCTCAGATGCATATACAAACATGCATAATATTGAGTGTGCCTATGTACGGATAAATTAATGGAAAATAATATACTGCTATCGGTTTAGAAATATATTTTCAAGTGTTTTAAAAAATGTTTATCTATACAATTTTATTTATCATGATAATATATACAATATATATTATCATAATGGACGTATTAGCGGTATATACGACATTTGTGCAGATGGTGGAGTTATAAATATAATTTTTTTTTTTGTAAAAACATCTTTAATATTTAGTTGAACTTTCATCAAATTATGTAATCATTTTTAAGCATATTAGAAATGTTTTGATGAAGCCAAATGAGTAGGCGTCAGAACACAATCACAATATAATATGTGCTGGAATAGCCATCACAAGTATAAGTACTAAAACTATTCAATAATTATCACTTACAAGAATTCGATTTCATTTCAGGTTTTCATTTATTATATTGATATAATTATCTATACAGCTTTAATGCTCCAATGCAATGTAACATTATAATATATGTATCTGATAAATGTATACATATACAGGACGATTATTAACATATTAAATCAGTCAATAGACAATATAATAAGACGGGTGTTATTAGTAAACATCTAAATTACTTATTAAATTTTTATTAACTGTTATACATACAACTTTATATTTTGCAGTAGTTCACACTTTATTCACTTTGTTTTCTTAAATACTTAATCAGCAGTTCAATTTTTAATTTTTTAATGAAAACTTAAAAATGTACCACTTTTTAAATAACTTTGGTTTTATATTTTTCAAAGAAATAAATTTAAATATTGACTGACTTATGGCAAACAAAAATTGTACTATAATTTACTAAATTATCATCCAGTGTCTAAATAATGAAACATATTGTAAAAATAACCCTAAATAATATATCTATAAATCATCTCTGTATTAGTGTATAAACAAATCAAGACCAATTATAAATAGACTGTCAAAAATATTTGTTGTATTTAATATGTATTATTTATTGGTTACAAATATTAATTTGTATTTAAAGAAAAAAAAAAAAAAGTAAAACTGTTGTATAGTTATTTAAGATAAATATTTATTTTAAAAAGTTTGAACTGAAAATATTTTTTTAAATCAAAATCGAATACAACCAATAAGTTATAGGGACATTTTAGATATTATAGACCCATTTAAAATATTAATTCATATATTGTTACAAGGACAAAACAGAATGCGACAAAATTTAAAATGAAGCAAAGAAACACGTCCTACAAATAAATCATGCTGCAAAAAATAAAAGTGCACCTTTGTTTGAATTACGGTCTTTTAAAGTTTCATGTAGTCAAAAATATATTAAAAGATGAACCCCTAAAAAAATACTCTGATATATGTGACAAAAATACATAGGAAATAGTACTAATAATAACATTTTTAAGTTATAACCATATAATAAACATTAGGCTAATCATATTAAAACGAATGTAATTATACAAGCAAAGTGTATCACCGAGTTGATAATTGTCAATACGTTTTGACTTATAAATAATTTTAAATATTATTTTCTGTAATATAAACCAATTGGTAATAATTTATTATATTTTTATGTATCTATTAAAATTTGATTTTTTTGGACATACCATTTCTTAAACCGTCTCAATTTATAAAGCTAATTTGTTTCAATGTTCTAAAAGTTAAATTATGATTATCTATTATTTATATAGTTATACATGGCAACCGATTGTCATTCAATCGTTGATCACACTTCGACTTCCACCAATCGGCAATCACTTAGTATTTTAGTGGACTAATATTCACTCAGATCGCACAATACACACTTCGTGATAATTTCAGTGTATTGGCAGAATGCTGGTAGAGAAGTGCAATATATACTGTTCAAAATAAAATGGCTGGGTGGTAAAGTATCAATTCAAACACAGTAAAACACACTGTAGGTATATTGAATCTATTTACTACTAAATATTACATTGAACTATTTAGTATAACATTTAGAAAAACTAAATGACGATTTAAGTTTAGTCCTAACTCTCGGCGAAGACCATTTTCCATTCAGATTATTCGTAAACGCCATTTCTTTAGCCGACACCCCTTCGTCCACTTCATCTTCTTCAGTTTTAATTTCCATTTTCTAAAAAACAATATTATTGCGTTAAAAGATTAAGTTTTATAAACATAACCACCATTACATACCTGTATAATTAGGCGGAGAAATGTTTGTTGGTTTTCAAGTGAGCTAGTGATCGTTTTCAGTCGATCTTTCACTTTTCCAATCTCATCAGCCAAGTGATTTTCATTATTTTCTAATACCATTTCGATTGCTGTTAATAACAAAAAAAACATGTAATATAGAATAACAAGTTTTGTTTATTTATTATTACACAATTATCAAACTGCGTTTACACTATATTGCAGTAATAATAATGAAATATTAAAAATACGTTATCGCACGCGTCTCAAGTTCAAAGTTTGCTCGCCAGTGTGAACGCAGCAATACAAATCGGATACACGAACAAACTTACAGCCGCGAGCGACTAACCATAAACCTGAGCGGAGCGGCTGAAATTATGATTGTTGGAAGGCTTACCGTCATCAGAGAACGGGTTACAAAACCATTTTCGCAATATAAAATCCAAAAAGCCCATTTTTGTTTTTCTCTCGTTTGGATATTCGATCTGTTCTGCTTTATCGATTTTCTCCATCAGCACGTGTGGCAACTTACGTTCTAGCTCCGTATGTAACACGACCTAGAACAAAACAGTCAAATTGTAGGTTGGACGAAGGTTCATTGTATTCTTTCAATGGTACTTAACTATATAAAGCTATTATAAATAGGTTATAACATATTATGTAAATAGAATGTAAATTATATACATACATGACGCCATGAGCAACGAGCAAAAATTATATAGTTCAATGCTCATGGCCAATACCTACACAATATAAATATATTATATTAAACGCTAAGTCAGGATGTTTCGAGAAGGTATTTACGTGTTACACATTTACCGAGGTTGCATTTTAACAAAATTGCAGTGACATTCTGTGGGGGGGAAGGGTGTCACCGTTTTCCGCTGAAGTGACTCTCAACCGTAATCATTGTGTCCGTTTTCATCCAAAATAAATTAACATGTTTTTTCAGATAGTTTTAACCCTGTAAATCCATAAAATCGTAATGATTACGATAAACGCACCTCACCTCAACTCGTATAGTATGTATATCAAGTAACATAATTTTACCAGTGTAAAGTAAAGACAATATAGAATAAAAATATTAAATAGGTACTAACTGATCCGGCAAATGTTGATTGCACACAATTTTTTTTTAAACATTTTTTAACATTTTTTTTTTTTTTGTGGCACCTAACCAAACCTAAAATCAACTGAAACTTTATCCGACTAGCTTAAAATTATTATATAATTTATTTATGTATCATATGTACTTATTATAAATACATTAAATAAAAAAAAAAATAACATAAAAACTACAAAAATTAAAATATATTATTAATTGTATACAAATTGTATTAAACAAAATGGAGATTTTTCGACATACTTGAGTCTAGTTCAAAAAACATTCTTGAGCACTTAATGAAAGTGAATCAATTTCTAATTTTTTAATTTAGTAATATTCCATGGAATTTTTGGTTTATTCCCACTTGAAATTTTACCAAATAGGTAGGTACCTATTGGGTACATTGGTCTATACTTAATTTACCAAATTCTGAACCAACATAAATACTATGTATGTGTTTTTATAAATGATAGATTAAAATCCAAAAATAATATTCACACTATTTCACAGGCATTGGTCGTTCATGTTGAACAATCAGTAGTCTTAGCTTATAATTTAGGGAGGAACTTCCATTTCAATTGTAGTTTTTAAAAAATATTGAAAATACGCGGTTATCAGATGGGCACTATAGCAAATGTAAATACGTTACTGGTACGTTATTCACTGGTAAAATAATATTTTACTTGATAGGTATGATGTAGCAGAGGTGGTGAACATTTATTGGGTCACGCGCCAAAATGTTGTAATCGAAGTCTTTAAAAAAATTCATATTCCAGTAACATAATAATATGTTCAATGTTCATAGGTATCAATAAACAATTTTTTTTCGGGGTTTTAAAAAATTTCACTGAAATAATTTTACTATAAGTCGTGTATTTTGTTACATAATCTTAAACGTTTTAATAATACACTAGTAGGATTAGCTTCATCCAACGATATATTATTATTCCCCTATGTATGTTAACGTGAATATTAAGTTTATTTCGAATTATCCATTTCTTTTTTCAAAGTACAAAATATCATGTCTGTAAGCAGTGGGTTCCAAGCTTTTATAATTTATAACTTTATTTTTTAGAAATAATAAATATTTTGTTCACTATTAATTTATTTTTCACTAAAGGCAAGATAAAATATTTTTGCGTGATGCGAAAATTTGGCCAGCTTGCCACTTTTGGCACTCACGCCATAGGGTCTCCTCCCTTGCGATACTATTGACTGTACTTAGTGAGATGCAATGAAGCGCTGTACATCATTCCAATTTGATGGATTTAGGTTTAGGGGTTCTCAAAAATATTTAAAATATTATATTTAATTATTTACTTATTTCTGCAGAAATTGTAATATAACCTTTATTTAAAAACGGACACTTTGATAGCGAAGGTCACTTCGGGGGAAAATAAAAACCCCCAATGGTGATGGATGAGTTGCCCCAATTCTAGATTTTTTGATGTGCAACATCTAATGCGGTGAGTGAGACCGGCTATTGCGTGGCGACGTCGCCACCCACACATGAGCGGAAAACACATAAAACACGAAACATCTAATACATCTTGCGATTATATCTAGCAATGGTATTTTGGTAAACAATTTATTATCTATTTTCTGTCAGCAGGTAAATTTATGTTTATGATGCGAGTTATCAATAGACATAATAAATTACTTTTTTTGATACATAAATGATTGGTTCCTGATGCACCTGTGCTACTTGGCTTACAGAATTGTTTTTTTTTCGATCAGCCGACAAATATGATGTATGTAACCACATAATATTTCCAGTTAACTATCCTGCGGCAAGGAATAAAACTCACTACGCGCAAGAGCATAGTCGATTTGAGTTGCGGCCCGAAGCCACCGTCTACAAGTTGTAACTCACCGAGTTTCTACTTTCTAGTAACGTCAATGCAGACATTAAAACGGTTTACTTAGGTATCCTACCAGGTATGAGGTTAATTACGTGATTTATAAATATTACAATATTATTATAATTTATAGTTTATACTTAATGAATTTACAACAAATGTTGGTTTAGAATGTTACGATGCCTTGCATTGAAATTATTTTATTTAGAAAATCTATTATAGAATATGGATTCGGAAATAGCGACTATTGAAAACAACAATATTTTCTAGTCTATTGACTATCCATTAATTTATTACCAAAATGTTAGAATAAACCTACCATACATCGCCAACGTTACCTGTATGCTCGATTTTTAGATAATCCGTTGTAATTACATTAAAAAAAAAAGACGAAGATAATACTTATAGTAGCTTATAATGACGCCGAGCTACCATGATATTAAGACACATTATGATTTATGATAAACCAGAAAAATATTAACTCTACGCATTTATAATTATGAAAAAGAGGTAAGTAACTTCAAAATAATCGTCCGCTTGAGTACACCGAAGACAAGTATCATGGATATAGAGCCAGTATTAAGTAGTTTATAAGAAAAACATAAAGCTGCTCAATTAACTTGATTACATTTAACGTTATATTTTATATAATAAAGGCAGTAGTCCATTACTTGTGAATTAATGTAAGCAATATAATATGTATACCAAAATTAGTATTGTACGTTTTTTACCTGCATCGCCAGTCTTTTAAGCTGTGCATTTCGTCTGACAGATTCTATATCACCAACAGCCAAACCAATAAGTAGATTCATTAGAAGAATAGGCATGAGAACCATAAATACGCCAAGCATCAAAAATACTGGTACTGGATATGGTATGGTTCTAGCCTGGCCATTTTCTTCGTCGCCTTCAGCATACAAAGGTTGTATGTAAGTTCCGAGTAAATCTATTTCACCCAACATCATTGCGAAAGTCCGTAATAATGACATTGGTATCGTACTGAATGATAAATGATTACCCTAACAAATATTTTTAAAAAAATATGTAGTGTTGTAGTTATTTAAAGAAATTTCCTAAAAAATAAAATACTATTCACAAGATTTACATGCAGAAATATGGTGAAACTTTTTGATATTTTTAATGTATAAACTTACCCTTGATAATAAAATGTAAAACGCTAAACCAAAAGCAGCAATTAATATGGAAAATAAGAGCAGTACTTTGATCAAGGTTTGTAAGATTTCGAGAAACATAACGACGTATATTCCTACTTGGTCGAATCTAACAAAACACCAAAGAAATAAATTATTTATCATTCATAAACTTAAAATAAAATAGTGAACTATATTTTTTATTAAAACGTGTCTAATTTATGCAACCGGCTAGTGGAAATGTTCCATTCATTTCACTTACGAAATAATGATTATATCATTAATTAATTTGTAACGTCTCTTATTCTATTTAGATTTACCTCTGTAAGTTAAGGAGTAATGTGAACCAGCTAAGGAATACGGTTATGCTGGCAAAAGATATTTGATACTCAGGCAAACAATTCGTTAATACCGGTGCAATCATAGCTATAGCTGAAAAGTATAACAATATTGCCACAACGTTGGTTGGATCCAATAGGTAAGGCCACCCCTGCTGATAAAATTGAATCCCTTCTCGTGCACTATTCATGAACACATAAATGACAATCATAACTGCTACTGTCTTCAGTGTGGCTACATTTGTCTAGAAAATAGTAAAAAAATTAATTTAATTATAAAAAATCTAATAATATTAATAATATTTTATAAATACCGTGGTATCAACAGTTAATAAAGCATTACTCGTATCATTTTTAGATTGTACCATTTGATTGTAGACCATTAATTGAGATGAAAATAAAGTTACGAATATCAAAAATATCGTGTAGAACAATAAATGTGCAAGATGAAAATATTTTCCATATGTATTCCATTTCATTTGTAAGTACTTTTGACTTAATGGATGTGCTAAGAGTTCAACTCTTCCATGGTTGACCATTGCCTAGTTATAAAATTAAAATATCAATGACAACCCAAATATTATATCATTATAATCATAACATACGTTCAAAGCAGGTAATGGAGTGGGTTTTAATGTACCAGTCGCTCCATTTTTTTGAACCATTGGACATTGAAGACATGAGAATGAATACTTTATCTAAAATAAGATATATATTTTTTTTAAATCGGCTACATTTTCATATTTAATATTACCTACATAAAATTGTTTGGAATCTTTTTTGCAATTAGCTTTTGTAATGCATTTGTCTTGAACAGCCTCAAAAACGCGTGGCATAGACGCAATCAACGCCAATGTAACGCAAGGATGCCTATCTGACTTCAATGTCATTATTTCTTCAGCTCTAAAACAGAAACACAATATTTGAACTCGACCAATAAAAATGTGTGACATATTAGACATAGGTGTATTAATTAATAATTTACCGTGAATCGTGAGTAACCATCGATAATGCAGCTTCGGGAAACTTATAGTAAATTGCGTAATCAATTGCACTCAGATCTAAGGAGTTGAATAATAATTTACAGTTCATATACAATAACAATGTTATAGCATTTGGTTTATTCTCCATAGTAGCTAAATGCAAAGCCGTATTTTTATCCTTATCACATTGATCTAATAGATGTGAGTGCACGGAATGTAATAGTTCTATTGTTTGTGTATGACCACTCATAGCAGCCAAATGAAGGGGATTACGACCTTTGTGATCGCGATGCAGTAACGCTCCTCTGTTCAAGAATAATTGCACTACTTTTGTATGACCTGTGACAGATATGTTAAATTGTTGTACGATGCAAAAATTATATACCAATGTTCAATTCTAAAATAAAATAAAGTTGAAAATTACCTTGTTGAGATGCTATATGTAATGGCGTAAGTCCTTCGCCGTCTGATTCATTTATTATAAAAGCCCCCTTTTCTGAGTTCAATAATCTTTTGACAATATTATATCTTCCATATCTAGCCCCAAAATGTAAAGGGCTCTCGCCGTTGTAATTTTTTATATTCACACATGCACCTAACCGAATTAAGCTTTCCAAACTTCGTATATGCCCACCTCTACTGGCGTAATGCAAAGGTGAACATCCAGTATTATCTTTTTCGTTTAATAACATTTCTAAAGCTCCTTGATGGTTAGCCTAAAAAATAAACCCCAATTACTGTATTATACAATTTAATAAAAAGTACACTTAAAATGAACAAAACTAATTTTAAAAATCAATCAAATATCAATAGCACAAACTATTTTTAAATGTCAAATGATATGTATTGGGCCCAATGATAACAAATCGAAATAATACAAATATTTTGAAATTATTATACATTCATATAATGGTGGTTTGCACAATTGTATTGCATAATAATAACTATTTAAAAATAGTATTAAATAATATATAGTCTTAGTAGGTATATAGGTATAATGTATAAAGTATAGTTATTAATGATTCAGTGATTAAGTATTTGATAGAAAATCAATACTCCAGTCAAATATTTAGTACCTACCTAACAACCATTGTTTCATATGATAATATTATTTATTTTAGTCACAAGAAAAAATATACTTGTTGCAAATAATAAACATAGCGAAATATTAATATTAATTGCTCTGCACGGACATATTAGATTTATTATGTTTATGAACCAAAATATTATTAAAAAAATAATAATGATGTAATAATTATTAAACATTGTGAGCTTGTAATAAGACTATAATACGTATTATACACCAAACACATTATGTAAAACTGAGTCTCGACGATAGATCTAAACCTCTTATCTGATACCTCGTTTAGGTAATTAATAGTTTCCTGATCTTAAACAAATATTAATTAATAAATAATACACTGATTATAGTTTCTGAATGTGTGCAGTGGCGCTAAAGGTAATTAAAACTGAGTCACCATGGTATTATTGTTACCATCCATCCGCATAAATGTCCCCCTGTATTCTTCAACAGTGTCCAAACATAAATATACTTCCTATATCTATTCCTACCACCCGTCCATTCACTATATATATAGCAGCTATTATGGCTATACGATATATTGTGTCCACATGACCTACATATGAAGTTCAACACAACTTTAACACAGGTACAGGATTTAAACTAAGAAATAAAGTATTAAGAATGTGATTTATAAAAAAAAACCATTAATTTTAAATGTTCGTCTGTTCAAAACATATCTGAAATTATAAAGTTACTATTCTCACTTCTACTAAACATCCAAAAATATATTTTTTTGTGTTTACACATTTAATTTCAGCCCATAGTAAAGAGGTATTTAAAAAAAGAAAAGTTAAACATCAAAATCTGATAACTTTATAAGGCAAAAAGCCAAAAACAAAATATACCAACTATCAATGTTTTTATCAGAAAAAAAATGCTGACTAAAGATTATTGTTACCTCTAAATTTTACTTTAAAGACGGTAAAATATCTTTTCAAATGCTAAATGGCACTAAACGATGACATTATAATATGGTTTTAGATATCACAATTATTCTGTTAGTTACAAAACATTTATATTTGTCATGCCTAACTGTTAAAATATTAAATTTATTCAGTTAGTATATATGATTGATTTTAATTTATTATTTATGCACAATATGTTTTTATAGAATCACAAGTACGTAAATATTATATAACAAACAAAGGTAAAATAATTTTTTATTTTCACCGTTTTTGCTTAATTTCAAAAATGAAATCATAAAAGAATTGCATCTATTATATATTCCAAGCGAAGAACGCTTCACTTGATTAATACATTTATCGGTAAGTAATATGTATTGATTTTCTATAAATATCGATAAAAAAATTTTCATCTGATCAAAAAGCTTGAAAATTTACAACAAGGTTTCTCGTGAGTATTTCATTCTGTAATCAACAAATCTAAAAATATATATATATATTATGTGTTTACTTAAAATAAGTTTAAATTTGGTCGAATTTTTAAATATTTAAACGAAAAACAGTGGTTTTAATTATTTTGTTGTGATTGAAAAATATTTTCCATGAGTATTCGAAACCTTGAGATATGTTAATATTTTATACACACAATATCATTTTCAAAACATTTAACCCTATGCTATTGCTTTTTATACCTTATAATATGGTATACAAATATTTTAGCATAAACCTAATCATGGCAAGACGGTGTTGAGTTCTGACTCAAAAATTATTACAATAATGTATGATATAAATATATACTATTGTGCAAATGTACAGCTGAGCGGTTACCTACTTTCCTCCTTTTTCTCAATGAATCAAACACCTTAGTTATTTTTTTTGTATTGATAAATTTTTTTTTCTAATGTTTTTAATTTTTTTTGTATTGATTTCAATATGTAAATGATCTTTTAATTTACTATCTTATGATGATAAAATTACCATAGTAATTTCGTGAGCAAATTCGTCAAGTCTTCCTCCATACATAACTACCAGATGTAAGACATTTCTTTTACTGGAATCTTTAACTTGAATGTCAGCACCCAATCGAATTAAACTTGCAACTGTTCTCCATCCTGACCTGCTGGCAGCTAACAACAATGGAGATCTACTTTCTTTATCCAAAGCGTTTATGTCAGCTCCCTAAAAATATTCTGATATACACTATATATTACAAAAAAAAAAAGAAAAAATGGTGAAATGAATTTTTACCTCTTCTATGAGGTATTGTACGATTTCAGATCTGTCAAACATAGCAGCACAGTGAAGCGGCGTCATTTTCTGTACATCACAAGAACATAAACATTGGGCCTTTTCGTCAGGCTGTAAGCCGAACATTAATCTGACTATGTCAATGGCTCCTTGAGCACAAGCTAAATGAACTGGAGTGGACAAATCATATTGTTGCGTTGAAATCTTAGCTCCGGACTTCAAACATAATTCCACAGCCTAAAATAATTAAAAACAGTTCAAATTCTCGTATTACATTCAAATGAAATACAATTTTCTTTTAAAATCCTCCTAATATTTTAGTATCTGATATGCACCATTTCACTTTTAAAATATATACTTTACCTACCTATTTTCATCCAATGTTTTAAGTGATAAGTAAATATCACTGTAAATAACTACTAGTTATAACTGTAAATGTTACCAATTGCTTCATTAATGTTTAAATTATTAAACCGAATAAACCAATTCAATAAAGTTTACGAATTGAATTGCGAAGCACGCCTATTCAGAAAAAATAAGTGATCTAAAAGTTAAGTTTTTGGAAAGATAATATTATTAGCTTTTATTGTTAGTTAATAAATGAATTTTATTTAGTTTTACTTCTTAGATTTATAAGCCTCGATTACTCGAGTAATTTTTCAGTCGTATAATTATTATTAATCGTTTTCACTCAATTTTAAGTTAGGTACCACTACTTAAAAATATGTCACTAATAATTAGAGAAATTTTACTTAGTTTGAAATTAATTTCTACATCATTAAAAAAACAGTATGTTTAATATAGTATACAGTAATATAGTTATATGATTCAAATCTGATTAAATTTAAGTGTATTAAAGTTCAGTTTATATCTCATGCAATATAATTCTATAATAAATTTTAAGTCTTGTTTTAAAAACTAGGTTTTTATTGTTGTAATTTTCATGTGTAGATAATTGAATTCAGTGGTCTGTAGTTGGTCTTTTAATACACACAAATATTCCAAATTCAAACACTCCGTATTATCTACATAATACTGTGTACAATAAACAAAATCCCTTTGTGAAATTTAACCCCAATCCTTCAACTTGATATTTTACACCAATTCACTTGCTTTCCAATCATTGGTTTTGTATTTATTTACCTTAAAATCTCCACTGTGTACTGCAGAATGAAGCGGCACGTTTCCCTCGGCGTCGAAAAACGATATCATTTGATGTCTTGAATTGCCTCTGCTCTCAGCCCATTGCAAAAGTACTTCCATCGTTCTGGACGCTGCATTCTTTGCTGCTTCGTGAATTGGGTAATATCCATTGTGGCAGGGTTGTCTATTATCAGCACCCAGATCTCGCATCTATAATCATTGAATAACATACATTAATCTAATTAGAAATAGTATCACCAGCAGAAAATAAGCGCCCTTTATACTTGAACTTTTACATTAGGTAATAATAATATTCATGGTGATTCGATGAACAATTATTATCATCATTGTAATTTTATATTATAATCACATGCTATATATAGGTGTACTTATTCAAACTATTTATTATAGTTATTACATTCCTATGTCAAGTATAATGACTCATTGTATTACTTATTCTCAGTTTTATAAAAAAATGTACTGTGCGTTAACAAATATGAAATTTATGCATATTATAATCATATTTATTAATTAAATTTGTTATTGTATGATCGTATTACAAAGTTAATAGAAAACAATTAATTTGGTGTAGGTACCTAACAGCGTGGTGTGAAAGTCAATAAAAAACAAATGAATATGAACCATGAACAACTCGTTTGTAAGCTAATCAATAAAATAGGAATGGATTTTGGAAAAATCTCGATGTTATAAAAATATTATATTAGTCAAAGGTTTTGTTGCTTAAAGGACGCTCATATATAGTATCTGAGACAAATAGAGTCAAACCTTTATCGGACAAATATTGCGCCGTTTCTTATTATATTTAGTATATTTCCACATCAAGCACATTTTGAATATTGAACATAAGAAACTGAAACTAATCCCATAGGTTCACAATTTATATTGATGTTGATAAAATATTCTTAATGATTACAACATGTGTGTGTATATGATGTTTATCAACCACTACGAAATTTAATATATAACGTTTTGCTCACGCTAAGAAGTTACCTATATGACTTTCGATTTGGTATAGTATCTTCGTCAACGGAAAATATTAATTTTGAATCTGCGAAACTTGTGACCTGAAATGTGTTCGGTAAATAATTTTCGTTTAATGCACTACGGGATCAATAAGCATTTAATATTAATTATTAAATATCTATTTGAAAATATACATTTGGTTTTTAACACGGGAATTGTAAACTATAATTACACAAATTCTCATATCACATAATTTATTCATAATCTCATATTTTCACTTGTACATACCTACATCTTTAACGGTATAGTGATATAGCTACTACTAAAGCAACAAGGGGTCAGCCATTGACACTAATATAATATTTTAGTAATCATCTATTGTCATACTATGTATGAGATGGTCTTTGGTCTGTTCATTTTTAACATATTCGAATTCAAATGTTTCGTTAAAAAATGGTTATGAATTATGATTAGTAGACATTTCATATTAGTAAACAGTCATGCATTCAAAGATAGGTGTTTATAATAATTTCTGAGATACAAAACAGTGATTCAATAAAACTCACAAGACAATATTATAATAGTAGCTACACCACTAGCTGCATTTTGATCACAATATTGTAGAATAGAAAATTAAGTTACTCACCAATATACGTGCACATTCATCATTATCGTGTATGGCAGCCAAGTGAAGTGCTGTCCTACCATGTTTGCCACCTTGGCCGATTTCGATCCGATCTTTGAATTTGCACATTACTTGAAGAACAGCTACTCGGTTTAGCTCGACCGCCAAGTGTAAAGCTGCTTGTTTTTTGTCATTCAATGCACTCGGATCAGCACCACTTTATAAACGTATACATCACAACGGTTCAGAAATATTAAATTAATCATGTACAGTAAGTTATAATTAGTTTGTGCATTCGAATATGGTATAAACTATATAATTAATAAACTTATAAACATAAGATACTGAACAAGTCAAAATAATATATTATATTATATTATTATCATAGGATTTATAATTTATTTACTAAAGTGTTTTCCATTCAAAATATTAATGATGTCTACAATAAAGTTGTTACTTGTGAATAATGATGATATCTAATATGGGCGATTAGTCAGGTATATACTAAAAAATTATAAATAGTATTAAAGTTTAGTTCAAATATTTTTAATTTAAACCAGCGTGTAAATGTAATTTTTGAACTCAGCAAAAAACTAGAGTAACTAGAACTGAGTAATTTATGATTGTGGATTGTGGATTGTAGACTCACAGTTTTATTGAAATATTGGTATGATGAAATGTATAATTAAATTATAAAAAATATCAAAATATAACAAATAAATAAACATTCTTGGTCATTAAATAATTTATAAATATTACATAAATATAAATATATAATAGATTTCCCCCCAGTATAGCTTATGCAGCATTAAAAAAGATCTGTTAAGTTTACATTTTAAGTAATATACGTGTATGTATAAATAAAACTAATAGGTACCTTATTTTAAGGAAGCTAAGAAATAATAAGAAAATATCCATTGTACACCATAACTGAAATTTATAATCTAATTTATAGGTTAAAAAATAATAATAACATATGCTGATCAGAAAAATTATAAATAGTTATTATCTAACTTTAGAAACAAGCATTATTAGAAACTAATGGTCAATTATATAGCTCAAGTTTTTTTAAGAACAATAAAAAAATAATATAACGAAATTGAAAAAAAAATCAGACATCAGTTAAAAAGTCCACCATCATTATTCTCAATAAGGCGTACATACAACATTGTAGTTGCACAAATGTATTTTATTAAACATTTTTAAAATTCCTGAAAAGTATTAATTTAAAAACATTATTCCTAACATGAAGCGTATACTAAAAACGAAGTTCAATTATCTTTGTTTATTTAAAAAAAAAAACTGTTTTAGACATGAAATAAACACGACTACTCACTACTCAGTGACACGTTTTAGTTATTTTTCAATTTAACAAAACAAAAAAATTGCATAACTGGTAAAAATATTTAATATCCTAAAACCAATTTTTTATAGACACGCCATTTTATAAATGCAATACAAATTACTAAGTGTCAACCCTTCTCAGATAGGTGTTTTGGTATGCAAGGCATAACTTTGTGTTAACGATATTCACTATTCAACATATTGTGACAAAATTGCACGTGTAATAATTCTGAGTGGACAACCTGAGATGACCTTTAACTTACGAAAAATGATTTACTACAAATAATATAAACCTAAAAAATAATTTACTGAAAATAAATAAACCTAAAAAATATCATTGATACATGGAAAATACTAGTTTTAATATAGTTTATTACTCATGGTTGCATATATTCTACCTTATTGCAACGTAAAAGTTATTTTGTTATAAAAATAAATTAAATTATAGCAATTTTTTGATCTCGTTATTCCAGTATCACCAACTATGTATTTTTGTTTTATGAATATTATTATTTTAATCTTTCATGTGAAATTTGTGTATTCTGTAAATAATACATAGTTGGAAACGCCTATTATACTATTGAAGATCATCTGGAGTAAAAAAATATTAAAGTGATTTAATTGTAATTATTCTTCAATCTATAGTTATTACTTATTTTATTAGTAAATGTAACATATATATATTAGATGTGCATTATAGTAAATAATTAATAATTAGTGTACTAAGTACATATAAAAAAATCATAGATCTTATCAACTACTTTTATTCGAAATACAAAGAATATTGTATTCTTAATTATTTATTTCTTATTTATATTTGTAAATTGTGAACAATTGTATTTATTACAACAGACGTCTTTGTTCGTTATAGTGTACTTTTAATATTCCTATTTTATAAGTATACTTTCTTTGATGTAGTGATGCATTAATTTAGCTGTTCTTTCAAGTACCTAGGTATAGTCAACTGCTTTCAGCTTATGAAAATTTCTTACAATTTATCGATTTACTTCTTGCTTAGAATATTCATTAAGATTGTTTGTCAAATCAGGATTTTCGATCAACATTTTATTGTGATAGTTATAAATGAGTTGGAATAATATGTGTTATACTACAGTATATGCGGATTTTGTTTTACATTATTTGCCAAACGTTTTTGGAATATTCAAACTTTTATTTATTGACAAAATCATTGCCTGGCTCATCTGATAGTAACTGTATACATTTGTCTTTTTAATAGTTTTGATAAAAGAGCAGAGAATCCGAGAGCGTATATTAAGTACAATAATATTTAATTATAACTACAAATTATGCCAATTAGTTTTTATATGAGACAAATATTATTAGTTTTTCTCAGGTATGAATAATAATTATAAGTATATGATAACATAATATATGTTTATACTTAATGATTAATTTGTATTAAATATAGGAAATTTATAAATTAGGTACTCTCTACAGTCCACCGAATGAATAGTTCATATTGAATACAGATCCAACATTTAAAAGTATTATTATATCCACTACGTAATTTAAAAATATTGCTTACTTTTGAAGCAAATATTCCACTGCGTCCAGAGAATTGTGTTCAATTGCTATGTGTAATGGAGTGTTTCCACAAGAATCTTTTAAGTTCAAATCTATTGGAAAAATGTAATATTAAATAATATGCTTCGATCTTATTAATATTTTATAAGTAAGTTGTAAAATATAGATTTATTACTAAGGATAATCAATAATCATATACTGTTAATACTGTTGTACGTAGTAAGTTAGTTACTGTTTTATGTAGTGCACTTTCTGATAACGAAATAGGAAGTCAATTTGATAAAATGTCAAAATCAGAAACGATAAAAAATAGTATTATTTTATGATGGATATGACATCTGAATAAAAATAACTAGTCTATTATCGGTACATAGTAATATCTAGTTGATACCTACTGAATATATTGTGAAAAATGTACATACGATATTTTTTGAATAAATATAATATTTCACTGACACTAGAATATTGGATTGAAATGGGTAGCTTTACATCATTTGTATAGACTTATTATGATCAAAACCTATAACAGTGCTTGGTGAATGAAGAACCTTTTTTTTAATTATTAGTTTTTATGTTTGTCATAACATTATGCACAGACTTTTAGATAAATAAAGAGATTTATTTATGTATAATTAAATATTAAATAAAACGCAATGATACCATACTTCTGTAATACATATTTATAGTTTATCAAACTTAAAATATATATAAAATATTGTTACATGTATTTTTTATTTATTCTTCAAGGAAATAATGGGTATCCTACTCAACATGTAAATAGGTATATAAATTAAATTTAACTGACATAGTTATGATCGGGGCTCATAACTTCTATCATTTATGTATATATTTTTTGAGATGTCTCCAGGATGCCTATGAGAGCTTTTTTTATTATTATTATTTATTTGGATAGGTACCTATGTAAGCTATAATTTTTTTCAGAGAACCAAGAAGCTAAATACGAAATTGTATGTTGCATATTTTTGAATATTTCGAAGTTTAAATACTCATTGATATGTTGTGTCTATTTCTGTATCGTAGCCTTTAAAAATTTGTGTACTAAGACAGGATAAACAATTCTGAAGTAATATTAATAAATTTTTTTTTGCTTATGAAAGTTTCAAAAAAAAAAATGTTTTATACTTAATATTTTTTTACATATTTTAGTATTTTTATTGCATATTTAATCACTTATATGAATGTTTTAAGGAGCATATTATTGCGTTTATAACAACCTTTTTCAAAACTATAAGTTATGAACCCTGATTGTGATTAATTAAATAGTCAAAATAGTAAGTTTATCAATAACCATATGTATACGTATTTATTAATTATAGAAGAACATATTTAAATAGTTTGATATAATGATTTTAATCTAGGTAGTCCTTCATTTTAAATTATCTATTAACTTAAATAGGTGCACAATAAAAAAATGAACAGAACAAAATATCATTATATTAACTGACTATAAGAATGATACGACAATTTTAAATGTATTATTATTCCGTATTTTAAATTAGTAGGTAAACTTAATTTTTCTTTAACTATTTATAATTTTATTTGCGATTTGTATCATAAGAACATTGATAAAAATTAATAGAATGTAGACAAATATACAGCTCAAACATATAAACAAATTATGGTAAAAATATATAAATAATATAATGATTGACCGAATTCAACGTTATGTTGGTGAAAGAATCACATTCGTTAGGAGGACATCTTATGCAGGAAAATAGGATAAAAAAATGTATGCTATGATTTTGAAGTTATAGTGCTCCGTTCTCGACTGAGAAATATGAGAAAAATTTATAAAAAGAAGAAAAATTATACAAGTGATTTGGAAGAATTGATATGGAAAATATTTCGCAAAGAATGATTTTATGCTAGTTAAATTATGATTATTCAGTTATTAGTATAAGTAACAGTATAAGTAAATTAAATACCTTAAACCTTCATGAAAGTACGAAACACTTAAACAATTATCGTGCTTTCTATTGGTGTATGAATTGTGTGTATCAGTGTAGTCTTTAAAGTATTTGAAAACGAAAGCATATTTTTGAATGAATTCCGTAATTACATAATAATACAAAATACAGTATCTACCTTACTGACATGAAACTACTTGTAAATATTTTAAAGTTATTAGTTAGTTTTAAAAATATTATGTCAATATTTCCTGTATAAGAAATCTTCTTAAAAATCACTAAGACCATGATATAATAATTTGTATTTTTTTTTTAAATTCACACACTCAAAAGATTATATTAATAAATTATTAACTATAATATTTCCTTTGTCTATACTCTATTCCATAACATTAACACTAGAAAAGGACGAACCACATCAGTCACACCTGTATGTCCATCAAACACGCAACAAATCAATATTATCAATCACAAAATCAACAGTGTGAGCATTATTGTGCTAAAGTGATCAAGTCAATATTAGTTAATTAATCTACCAGAAAAAATTAAAATACAAGATAATATTAATTGTATGTAAAATATAATGTTTTTGTAAAAAAATGTATAAAATGTATAACGTTTAATTCACCTATAATAACAATATATATTTTTAATTATTATTTTTTTTTTTTTAATCGATATTAAACGTTAGGTTATGCGATGTAGGGACGTCCTCTTACTCTTACTATACACGTAGATATTACGTATCAATATATTATTTACCATACGTAATATTTAGCATCTTATAATATTTACCTCCACCGTGGTTGCGAATAAATTTTAATATATTTAATTTATTTCTGGCAGCCGCTTGATGTACGGCTGCTCGGCCTTTCGAATCTCTCACTTCGAGACGAGCTGGTTCAGCTATAAAAAGACGATTGAAATCATCTAAATTACCACTTTCAGCGGCCTGAAAACATATTTTCAATATTTGAATTATTATTTACTTAGGTGAGTATTTTAATAATAATTATATTGCAAATACTTGCAAATATTTTCCTAATAAAACGCACATAATTATAAAGCTCCATACACAGAATCCATAATGTGTGGGTATTGTGGATAGGTAGTGTAAAACTATGAAGCAAATATTAAATGCATAAAATAATTCTCTACGCATTAACAATGTACCTATTTATGGTTAACTATTAACAATTGAAATGTTTTATTCTTATAAATATACTAACTATTGAAATTAAATTACTTGAATAATATGTTTGTGATTTCTTCACTTATTACAATGGACTTCCGCAATTGAAATGTAATACTAAAATTTAAAATTTAATATAATTTTCATTTCGAACTTATTGAAATATATTTTTATATTAGATCCGTGAAATGTAAAAAATTGAGTATAGGTATTATCCGACTATCAGTTTTTTTATTATGTTGGAAGTAAATATTACAATAAAAAAGAATTAAGAAAAAAATGTACTTTATATAATATTAAACAATATGACATATACAACAAAAAATTGGATACATCAACCAATATCAATATAAATAAAAAAAATAATGATCAACTTACACTGGGTATATACACTGTAGAATGTTAAAAAGTAAAAATAAAAATAAATTCTTGCTTGACAGATAAAGAAAACTACCCACTAGTGAAATTGCTGATGGAAAATTAAACTCTAAACTCACCTCTTTGTAGTAAATCCTTAAGACGTTAAATTAATATTAATCACCTAGTTTAAGGTCACCATGGTCATTATAGTATTTTATAGAAAACCATTTCTATGGTGTCATGTGAACATGTAGTTTTATTACGTAATTATATTATACTCAATGATTGAATGTTCTAGATTAAGAACATTATTTAAACTTCATGACAGTAAAATTTAGTTTTCGTATTTATCATCAAGTTTACATAATATCTACAGATTTCATACTAAAACAATAGCATTTTGATTATTTATTTAAATTAATTAATGTTAAAAATGAGACCATGATCTTTCATATGGTTTAAAATGTTATCTGGAATTAAATATTCAAGAAAAAGAGACAATTAAATTAAATAACAAAATTATACAAATACGTTCAAAAAAATAATGCAAATCTAAGATTAAGTTAGTGCTTATAATATTATAAAATATGTATTTGTTACTACAATAGATAATTTCATTATTTTTTTTATATTGTGAATAATATAAATTATAAATAGATAAAACTTAAAAACGTATACTGTATATATTTTTTAGATAGCCATGGTATATACAGTAGTACCATAGTCCATAGAGTTGCCTTTTTAGTAAAGATCACATTAAAAAAAGCTATACAATCAGAATATGATTTTCCATAAATACAGCATATCCTAATATATGTATATTATTTGAATTTTATGCGAAAAAAAATAAGCTGTTCTACGTACTCGTCATGAATAGTACTGTAACTTATCACTAATGTGTGACACATTTACAGTAAGGAATTAAAAATAATATTTTATTAACTGTATTCCAATATAGCAACTTGTTTTAAATCAAATAAAAACATTGGCATCTTACAATACTTAAGTTTGCTTGAAGTAACCAATTAATGTTAAAGAACCCGACTCTAACTTATAAAACATATTTTAGTTATATAATTTCCTTAATGATTATTTTTAAGGAACTTTAAGTTGAATTCAAATGTAATCAATAAAAATATGTTGATAAACATTTTTCTTATCATAACACATTGATATTTTTCTAGATTAATACAATATTTTATAATATCTTAAAGATTTCAAATAAAACAAATGCAATTTGTTTTGTATGACGATGAACTTAAAAAATAAAATTTTACCTATTTCATTGAAACACTTTGTACATAGTTATCCAGCATCACCAAGGCAACATTATCAAATGTTTCGCGTATTATTGTTTCGTTCTGTTTATTCATGAACGCTCCACGAATTTAACAACGTTTACTTTCGTAATTTTATTTATTTTCTCTAAAAAAAAAATATTCTAAGACTTCTAAAGATTTGTAAACATATATTTACAAATCCACACGAATTAAATAACTTATCTCCGAGAATCTACAAATACAATGCTGGTAGGTACTAGGTATATTTCAATTATTTAGAACTCATACATACATATTAAATTCATATAGTTGAACCCACACGCGTGGAGCAAATTAATTATTTATTTTATGAAAAATTTCAATCAATGGTTTATTTAATTGCATAATATACATAGTTGATTTATATTATATTCAACATAATAGAATTTAATAGAAATATAATATAAATAATATATAATACTACATTGAAAAAATATATTATTAAATAGTACCCCTTATTATGTTTTATAATATTAAATAGATAATTGTTAAGCATTTAAGTATCTTGTACATTAATATATTATGTTTGTTACCTATTTAACAATAACATTTTGTGTAAGACAAACACAACTACATATTTTAATTAATAGTCTATACTTACTAGTATATTAACACAAATATTTCTAATTTAGAATTCTATGTATATTAATTCTATGAATATATAATTCTCGCATAAAAAATTCGATGATGCGTCCTGAATAATATAATTTACAAATTTATAACAATAATATAAAACTGTATCCTCACTACATAAAATTAATGTTCATATGGTCATGTTCTTTACAAAATTCTTCCGTAGCTCCGTGTACTAATAAATAATAATATATGATAGCTCAAAAGTCACAAGTCTAATTTACTTGGTGGATACTTCAGTAATTATATCTTGGTGGTAAACCTCGCTTCTCAAATCCGATAAGGTTGTTATAATACTACATCGATTACAACTTAGGTATGTAAGTCCAATTTAATGAATGTACATAATTTTTTTTTATCAATTAACCGTATTTATATACAAAATAATCGGGGTCAATAAAAAAGAAACATTGTACAAGATAGAAAAAATGAAGAAATGATAATTTGTTCGACAATCGCAGGTCATAATAGAAATCAATAAATTAAAATACTGTCAAATTTACTGTCAATCACTGTGAACTTTTGTCGCTAGTAAATCATGCGTATATACCCACTCGATTTGATATACTTACTCCAAGAAAATAAAAAATTGTCATTGCATTTCAAATGTAATTTCATGAACTGGTGTTGTTATATCATACATTTTCTTATAAAAATGCAATATGCATTTTATACATGGATAGTTTTTAGTAGTCAATTGCGAGAACTATGAGAGTATAATAAGAAATATTGAACAGTTTATATTGTTAATATTTATGATGCGTATCATATGAATAAAAAAAAAGTAAGTAGGTATATATTATCACATTTATTCAAATAAAGATGCATTAGAAATAACCTTACCGTTATTATAATTTGTTTAATATCCTAAACTAACTGAATTTTTTTTTTAAATATAACTCGATTTGAATATAATTTCTATAAGAACAATAAAACATTTAATTATTATTTATCAATGCAATTAAATTTAAACTCGTGAGTAGTAACAGTACAAAATGTCTAAGAGAGACATAGAAAGTAACTATTTAATAAAGACAAAATATAAACTATGCGGAAAATGTAATTTTAGCACAAGTAAATAGCTCAGTCGTCAAAGCTTAGTCTCAATAAACAAACGATGTAAAAAGTTATAAGTTATAAGTTTATAAGGTTAAGGACTTAAAATTGTATCCTAATATAGTGTATTAAGGATGGGGGTGGGGGAATAGTTTTCTAATTATATGTCTATATTACATCACAATAAATTATTTATAAAACTTAAATGTTGATTAAATCAACCAACACTTTTTATTATTTCTAATTAGATTTGTTTTTTTGTGAGTCATTCTGGTGTGCAGAACAATTTTAGTGGTCACGTTCAATTTAAAGTTGTGCATCAATGGATTAAATAACAATTAACAATGTATGTACATGAAAAATTAAGCAATATAAATGTAAAAAAGTTATTGAACAAAGTTTTAAAATTTATAATTAAAAATAAAATATTTTATATTTACCATCTTTAAAAATATTTGAATATATATTATGTATAATACTATCATAAAAATTACACTGTAGCACAAGGTATCGTTTTATTTTTCAAAGTAGATATTAATAATATTTAATTTAATTTGCCTTACAACTATTTTAAAATTAAAATTAACAAGTACATAAACGAACACATTGCCAGGTATTCAACATTTTTCGTGTTTCTTAAACATAATATTATCAAACATCAAATTTACATAAAATAAAAAAATTATAATATATAATAATTAATAATTCCTTATACTAAGAGTTCAGAATGCCAATAGATTTTTTTACACCTGAACTTTTATTCCTGATACAATCAATGGATACATATATTATATATATATATATAATATTAACAAAATTATATGCATACATATACATGATGTTATCAAAATTATATGTGCACGAATTTCATATAATTTATACTATAAGTATAAAAACAATATATTTTTATGTCATACTTCATAAAATTAAAACAGAAATTCAATAAAAAAAAAAAATACTGATTACAATACTGGACATTTATAAACATAATTTGAATCAATGTTCGTAATATTATAAAAATAAATAATATTTTCAATTCATTCATATTCATTTTACAATTCCCATTATCTCGTACCTACTCGTGTAATCGTGTAATCGTGTAACGTGTACCCCTTATAAGTTAAAACCACGTTACAAGACGTCTATATTCAACTTTGAGTTGTTTTAAATAGGACATTTTAATGCAGCTTTAAAATGAATTTAAATTTGTATTACAAATATTGAGGAACTTTATCTTTGTATTGTAAGCTGAAGCATTTACATTTTTTCGATAATTTTCCTGAACCAATGTATATATAACTCAATAAATATTTCAAGAATTATCAAATGTTTACAAACTAATTTATACATCAGTTAGTATTATAGAAAAGATAGTAAAAAAATTAATATGAT